AGTAGTATATACTGTAATTATTCCATGATAATTAAATTATTCTGTTAACTTAAACTATAGAAATTAACTAAATGATCAAAATGATGTTCCATGTCTTCCAAAGAACCATGAAAGATAACCTGTTATATGAAATGTAAAAAGAAAAGTTACTTTTGAGAAAAAAAAAAAAACAACAACTTTAAGTTTGGAGAGTTTGGGTTTGGTTTTTTGGGGGGAATAATTTAATGAGATACTTCAATGAACAATGTTGATAACCTTCAAATAAAAGTATATATCAATAAAATACTAGCAATGATAGCCACATAGACTAATTTTATGGTCTAAAATTAATGAATTATATATAGAATAGAAATCCCCAGAATACAGTATTAAGTGGAAAATTTTTCTTTATATTTTTCTATTTTAATAAAATACAACAAAATCCTTCTTAAACATGCATTTTTCCACCTAACAGTATCCATTTAGTTAATATAAAATTTATTTAGGAAAAAACATCAAAATAAAGTTATAACCAATATACTTGTGGAATACAATTAAAATATCTCTTCACATTAAACTGTAGGGACCATCCTTGTTTCTCAGATGCCTAGCACAATGCCTGAAAGACAGTAGATGCTCAGTAGATGTTTAATGAATACCTAAGTACAATCTGTTTTGCACATACATTCAAAGTCCAGACAAGTCTGCAAAGGTACATAAGTTGGACATAGGCTTTCTGGCTGACTTCATGGGGTCCCAGTGATGACTAGGAGTAAATCTTCATATCCATAGAAAACTGGAAAGTTGGTAAGTGTCTGGGTAAGGACCAAAAAAACAAAGTCAGGGAAACATGTCACCTAAGTAAAGTTGCTTTATAGAGCTGGTAAAAGTGGCCTAATCATTCCAATAACCTATTGTACTAGTCACTCAATGAAATGAAATTTAAGTGTATCTTGAACATTTGCTAGTATATTTTAATTGGAATTTTTTTGAAATCTCTTATTAAAAATAAATTACTTTTGTTAAATTGCATCCTGTACAAGGATTAAAGGGAATATGTTTTTACTTTCTATAAGTACTATATTGTTAATGGGATTTAATTTGGCTAACAGAAAAAGTGAGAGCTACAGTCAAAATAAATTTAAAAATTCACAGTAGTGGAGAAATTGTAGCAGGGAGGAGAGGAAAGGAAAAAGGAAGAAAGGAAAAGAATCCTACATATGGGAGTAAAGAAATTCAAATATGCCTAACTCTATTATCAATTATGACAAGCAACCAGTAGGGCCTCCTATGCACCAGACACTGATATGAGGGACACTGACACTGCTATGAGGGATATAAATTGTTAACAAGACAAAAATCCTTAGTCTTAAGTGGTTCACAGAACAAGACTAATAGGTAAACATTTATAATACAATATGCATCATATATATATATCTTTAATCAAAGAGTAATAAGTGTATTTACTGATTAATTAGAAGTACAGAGAAAAAATAAGCATCCGGGAAAGCTGAAATAATTCTCAAAATAGTAACTATCCAGAATGAGAGAAATCAGTACCTCTTAAAATAACAACAAATAACTGAATTATAAATAGACAAAATTTTGGCTTAAAGCGATTTACCTAAATATTCTTAAAACAATATGCCTCCATATAAAATCCCTAAGTGCTATACACAAAACTGTGAATGACAGTTTCATTTCCGACAAAAGAAAATGAGGTGGTATAGCATAGAGAATGTTAAGAGAGCTAAGTTCTCTGGTCCACGCTCTGCTCACTTAGAGGCCTTGGAAACTAGGCAAGTTCCTCAAGCTCTCTGAAATTCAGCATTATGTTAAATGAAGAGCTGGATAAAGTGACCTCCAAGATATCACACAGATGAAAATTACAATCCTAAAATGTATTAATATTTAAAAAATAAGCCATAATAAAAAAGGTTTTCTAAATATAAATCATTATCCAACTTAGAAGAAGTCTGGAATTCTCAAACCATACAGAGTTACCCTAGGAATGGTGGGATAAAGGAATGTTTTCAAAAGAAAAGCAGACATAAATTAAGTAAAGGTATTATACTCAAGGCTGTAAATTTTCACTCAGCTGCCGACGGGCAACTACCATCCAATTATATACACAATTTGCTTTCCTTAAAATTGATTTCTTCACTAAGTTCTACTTTCTCCCTCTTATGTTAATGTTGCTGAGGAATTAGGGTGAGGACGAGAAATCCTAGGTAGACCTGAAATAGTAGTATTGATGTTGGGAGAAAAACTTGAACTTGACACAGATTTCTGCTGAAGTGCACCAATTACACCTCAGAGAAAGGTAAGGAACTGTTCAAACTGATGACAGAAAGGAGGGAAACAAGACCATATTGTTTACTGCTACACAGCTTTTTCCCCCTGTGTCTAAATGTCTACTTTTGCACACAGTAACGAAAATTTTACAGAACAAGTTTCTACATTTGCAGTGCGTTTCTGCCACTAAAATAGAAGCATATTATGTTTTGGCTTTACCATCAAGAAAATAAAAAATTAAAAGTATTACCATGTTTTAATATTTATGTCAATTATCCATCTAGATTTGTTTCTTCAATCCTTTCTATTTGATCAAATTGCTGTTTTCATACTACCAGTCTGATCATAAAATTGCTGCTGTAATTTACAGAAGAATATTTTTTGCTGACATAAATTATGGGATCAGAGATACCAATGCAGTTACAAAAAAGGGTGTGTGTGTGTGAGAGAGACAGAGAGAGAGAGAGAGAGAGAGAGAGTGGTGTGTGTGAGAGAGTGTATATATGAATGTGTGCATCCATCTTCAAGGAAAGAATAAAGAAATGTATGTATGAAACAAAATGCCACTCTCCAATGTAAGCCCTAGTAAAAGGCCTACATTGGAAACATACTTTCTAGCATTTGTGAAATAAAATACAGCACTGAATTTGAAAGCCATAGTGATTTTTATGAAGACTGTTATTCTATAAACCTAAACCTGGATTTATCTTTCAATTTATGTCTAACTACAATGAATATACTAACTACGACTTCATGATTTGACTCATGAAAATATATTTTAGAAATCTGTCTCCTTTTACGTACAGTGAGCAATTTGGTTCAGTACCCCAAGAGATGAAAAACTCATCTCAATTTACAACACTAAATAAATAATTCAGTTAAAACTGAAAGTGGTACCAATCCAGCAAACTATTGATGGAGAGGTTTGGCCTTCCATGAAGCCAGAACAACATAAAGTTTTCAATGGGGATTACTTGTTCAGACAAGTTACAAAGGTCAGAAAAATACCCAGATTAATTAGGAAATAGCTAATATTCTCGTCTTATGGAAAATAAACATCAAGAACGTATGTAGGAAGAGATAATACCGGTGGTATTTAAACTTTGAGCATTTTAAGCTTTGAACTTTACATGCTGATATATGAAACAAATTAACAAAACAAGCAGTAATACAAGTCAAAACCTAACCAAAGGCCTCTATCAACTAAAAATTTGAAATCTCTCATGCAAGTCAGACACAACAACAACAACAAAAAAGGATAATTAAACCCAGAAAGCAAAAACCAATCAAGTCTGTTCCAACACTGAAGTCAATTTCCAAATCACATACAGAACCAAAAAGGGGAAAAAACACTCAGGTCTACAAATGGATAAGCAGTTCCAATACAATCCAGATCCCGACATTTTCCCACTCAGAAACAAATGCAGTGGAGCTTTTCCTGGGGAAAAAGGAAAAAAGCTCTCCAAACGAATTTTTTCAAGTGACATCTAGAAAGTGTGCCTCTTTCTGTCTCTTTCCCTGGCGCCTCATTGGAGGAAGGAGGGGGTTGTTTTTGTGTTCTCCCCCACTGGAGCAAGACACAATCAGATGTTAGCTGGAGAAGAGAAACCACTTTTGACAACAGCAAATAAAAATAAAAGTGCCCTTCCTCCTCTGACAGGATGGGCACCCACCTCACACACCCCTCCCCACTCCAACCCCTCCTTCACTCCCCCCCCCCAGCACCACCCCCTCCTCACCCCGGAGCTCCACTGCGTATGTGGTTTGGTGCTACTGCTGCCCCGGAGTTAAAGTCAGAGCCAGAGGAAGGCAATGAAACCCCCACAGACACACTTACCTTTCCTGCCCCCCACTTTTGAGTGCCTTCCCTGGAGCTGTGGAGGATGACACAAAGGGTAATAAAGGGGGGGGAGTGGAGGAGGAGGAGGCGAAGGAGGAGGAGAGCTGGGGAAGTGGCTGCTCCTGGGTGTAGTGAGATGTCTCCAGCCAGGGCCAAGCAGCAGCAGCAGCAGTAGCAGCGGCAGCAGCAGCAGCAGAGAAGGGTCTGTGTTGCTAAGAGGCTTTTGGTCTCTTTCTCTCCTCCTCTCACGGCCAAAGAGGAGGAGGGTGGAGGGGGCTCGGGAGGGAGGCTAGTGGAGGGGTGAGGGGGTAGGAGTCGTGGATGGGGGTTTTCGAAGAAGAAGAAACTCCTTCTTCTTCTCTCTCAGGCTCAATCCCCCTCTCAGGTCTCAGGGCTGGAGGGTGGGGGAAGGAACTCAGCCGCCTTCCCCCCACCCCCCTCAATTCAAGGTTGAAGTGGGGTAAAATTAGTGTCCTGTCCCTTTAAAAATAGAAATAAAAGGTGCCCCCCCTCTGCCACTGCCTCTCTCTTCATCATCAGCTGCTGCTGCTGCTGGGGTCTCTCTGCTGGGGGGGGAGGGGGGTTCGGGTAGAAGAGACGGGAGGCACTCACTGCGCATGCCCCTCCCTGACGGGAGGCTGGTTGGTTGAAGGCAGGAGGAGGGGGAGGGGAGGAAATGATACGGTTTCCCAGAAGGCTCCGAGGCACTTGCGACCCGGAAGACATTGTAGCAGGGGGTAGAGGGGCGGGGGCGGGGAGTAGGAGGAAGTCGCTACTCTTTAACACCCCCTGCCCCCTCCTCTTTCCTAAGGGAAAGTGGATGAACGGAAGTGGGCGGGGACGGAGACGCAAGTAGGTCACGTGTTGGGGCGGGGTGGGAGACGCGGTGCGTGCGCGGGGAATGTCGGGAGTAGTGGTGTACCGTTGGCAGTAGCAGGTGAAGCTGAGCGGACTACGCGGCGAGCGGCGCCTGTGAAGCGGTTCCCGTGGTCGCCAAATTCCTGCTCTGCCCTGATAAGGGCAGACTTTTGTGTGAGAGGTAACATGGGGTAGGCTGGCCTCAGAACGAAGGCCAAGGTCGCCAGGGCGAAAGGCGAATCGAAAAGAATGAGGACGGAAGGTTGCGGAGACTGGGAATGCGGGAAGAGGGCAGGCTTGTCTAGGCCAGGCAGGCCCCTTCTGTCTCGTGGTCTTCCTGTGAGGCTGCCAACAAATCCCTGAAGTCTGCAGGGATTCCTCAAGAGAGTAGATCTCTGGTGGGGTGTTGACTGCACCCGGTGGTGGTGAGGAATTTGATGGTCCTGCTTCTAAAGAGAAATGGGATCAGAGATGACTCTGTTGACTGTTCAGCTCAGAGCAGGGGGAGAGAAAAGCTCCATGTGTGAATTTTGACAACTTCTGGCATGGGATGCCTTACTTGCATTGGGTATTATGACCATCATTCCTTAACTTTGCTATGCTCCCTGGAATTCTGGAGTGGTTTTGGGGAGGAGGGAGCAAGCTGAGAAGTCTTGAATGGAATTTGCCTCCCATATCTTGGCGTTGTTGATGCAACACAATGCCTAGGCTTGTTCTCAGAAAGGGATATGGGATTGTGTAGTCCTTGATGTTTATAGTCCTTGATGTTTATAGAGAAGGGACATAAAATTTTCCTTTTCTGTAGTGTAGATTAGAGATTTTTAAATGGATATTTTGTTTTAAATTTCTTTGGTTACTAGTCTCGGATTTAGAGCCTTTGGTTTCTCAATTAAATACCAACTATGTTTGCTGGAAATGTTTCCCTCATAAGATAATAATTCAAACTATTGAAGAATTCATGAATTTACATTAGTAAGGCTTTTTTAGTAAAATACCACCATTTCTTTTTCATATCCATTTCATACAATCTTAACTAGAACCATTGCGATCTTTCAGTTACCTTCTTTGGTAAAAGTACTTTGAAAGATTATCACCCTTTATGGTTTCTTTTAAGACCAATACTCTAAAATTCCTCATGTTTGTTGTATTGGTATTATTTAATTCTGTAATGAGTTCTTTAGGATACACTATCAAAGTTGCTACTTTTCTACATTTTACTTCTTATGTTTTGGCAATGGACCCTATTTATACATCATTGCCTAGTGCTTCTTTCTCTGTGTGTAATAGTCTTTTGTCAAACGGAATAAAAACTAGACTCCTGTGCCTTAAAATTTTGTTCGTATTGCAGCTAAACATTTACCACTTTATAAAAGAAAAAAAGTTATAGCAAAGCAATTTAAGTGCCTTCGGTAACAAATTTTTTTATGTTAAGATACTAAATATGTAAAAAATGCACAAATCATAGGTATGCAGTATAATGAATAATTACTAAGTGAACCCTCTGGTGATCGCTACCAAAGTCAAGAACTAAAACACTCTTGGCACTGGAGACCTACTCCTCCCCCCATCCATTCCTGAATATTCTCCTGCTCACCACTTCCAGAGGTTAACACTAACTGAATTTTTAGGTAATTATTTCCTATTTTTATTTCAAGTATTTTTTTTAACCACCAGTGTTGGCATTCCTATACGATGTAGATGAATTTTGCCTGTGTTTTACCTATATGAAAAGAATTACAGGGGCGCTTGGGTGGCTCAGTCGTTAAGCGTCTGCCTTCGGCTCAGGTCATGATCCCAGGGTCCTGGGATCGAGCCCCGCGTCCGGCTCCCTGCTCAGCGGGAAGCCTGCTTCTCCCTCTCCCACTCCCCCTGCTTGTGTTCCCTCTCTTGCTGTCTCTTTGTCAAATAAATAAAATCTTTAAAAAAAAATTAGAAAAGAATTACACATTATGTATTAGTTTCCTCTGTGGTCACAATATTTTTTTAACCCTGTTAGTAGATTTAGCTGTAGTACATGTTTTTTCATTTTTGTATAGTAATGTCTATAGTAAATGGTGTAGTAAGTTCTTTTATGAATAAACCACAATTAATTTAATTTACTCTAAGATTAATGGACATTTGGATTGTGCCCAGTTTTTAGCAGTTAAAAGCAATGCTACTATGAATGTTCTTATGCATGTATTTTATGCACATAGCATGCATTTTTGGAGAGTGTAGATTATGCCAAACTTTTCCAAAATAGATATATCAATTTATACTCCTACCAGCAGTGTATGATACATAACTTTTTTCTAATGTCTCACCAAAAACAATGATGTTTTTCAATTTTGCCAACGTGATGAATGTGGCTTTATGTTAATGTTTTAATTTACAGTGCTCTGGTTATTAATGACTTGGAGCATTTTGTAAAAAATTTATTGGCTATTGCAATTTCTTGTTTGAAATGTCTTTTCCTATTCACAGTGTTTCTATTGGGTTGTCTGTGTTTTACTTAAAGATTAGACCAGTGTGGCAAATATTTTCTCTGTGCTTGGAGCATTTCTTGCATCCTCAATGATTTTATCTTCATTTCATTCCTTACTGGCTTATATGCTATTAGTATTATTTTAAATCTATTTGTAATTTTAACTCAAAGGAAGAGGTTCTGTACTTGTGCTACCCACTACGTTAGCCTGCTTGTGGCTGGCCATGGACCACTTGAAATGTGCTTAGTGTTGCTGAGGAACTGAATTTTTAGTTTTATGTAGTGTTAATTTAAATTTGAAAATTGATACTTGATTCAGTTGTTGAAAAACCCTTAAGTATGTCTGGAACAACTTGGGTATGTAAATGTACTTTTCAGCTTGAAACTAAAAATAAAGATCAAGTATTTCTGATGACGATTTAGCATCTGAATTGTCATGTTCTGTAAATGTCAAATACCAGATTTCTAAGACTTAGTATGAAACCAATGTGAAATAATTCAGCTTTTTATTATGATTGCATGTTGAAATTATAATAAATTAATTTTACCTTTTTTTTAATGTGGGTACTAGAAAATTTTAAATTATATATATATGAGTGGTATTGTATTTCACTTGAACAGTACTGTTCTTACCATCAATGTTCAGTTACATATTCCTATATTTTTACCATTTTCAGTGTTCATTAATTTTTGCATCTCTGAATTTTCTTTAAAGATCTTTTTATAGAATTTTTTTAAAGATCTTTTAATATACTGTTTAGAATATCTTTAATACAGATGTACTGACGATCAGTTTTTAATTTTTTGCTTACCTTACAGTGTCTTGTTTCATCTTCAATCTTGAAGAATGTTTTGGGTCTTTTAAATTGTAGATTGTGATTGTTTTTCGGAATCTTGAAGATAATGTTCCACTGTGGGTTTTTTGCTTTTAGATTTTTTTGGCTTCCATTAGTGATTTTGAGAAGTCAGCTGTCAATCTAATACTTGCTGCTTTGAAAGAAATCTCTAAAAAAATGTTTTCTTTGTCTTAAGTTTTCTGCTACTTCTTTATGATGTTTTGTATAGAATTCTTTTTCCTGTTTTGGGTAAATTGAGATGCTTGAATCTCTGGATCAGTGTGTTTTTAAGTAAATTACCCAAATTCTTACTGTTTGTAGCTACTTGGTAAAAAATTACAGTTATGGCTTTTATTTTTATTATTCATAATTTGTTTGTGACTGATAATTTCAGTTTCTTAATTTTTTAAGGGTCTGTTTCTGCTGGTTCATGATTTTTTTCTTGTGTGCCTACGTGCTAGTTATTGGATTTGAAAAATTATAGGATTATTTAAGTCTTAGGATAATGGTATATTTTTCAAAAAGCCATGTTTTCCTTGGAAAGATGATTAACCATGCTACCAGTCCCAAGTCACTTAGTTCATGTTCAAGACTTCAGATTACTTGTTTTATATATATATAAATCTATAAAACATATATATTTATACTTATACACACACACACACACACACATATACATGACATTAAGCAGGGCTACAAGTCATGAGTTGTATGAGTTCTATTTTACATCCAGTTCTCCCTGACCTGATGATGTTGCCCTTAGGATCTCAACTTAATTTGGGTGATGATTTATTTGCATCCCACTTTTGGGGGATCCTGTGCTTTGATTTTTTCCCTCATAGTCCAAGAAATCTACCAGCAGCTCAGCCTTTCTTCTATTTTCTCAGCTTTTTCTTCTGGATAGGTAAAAGGCCTCAGGAAGAAGTGACTGAGTATGGGGTTTATTTTTCTGGTTTACTTTCTAGATTTTGGTGTGTAATTTCATACTGCTTTATTTATTTGATTTCTATTGTGAAGAATTTTTTGTTGGTTTCAGTGGGATTGATCTGATCTGCTATTACCATAAATAGAACCCTTATCCTCTTTTTTCTTTTTAAAAAATTTTTGAGAATTGATTTCAAGATCTTTCTGCTTCCAACCAAACTTGCGTGTTTTAACTTAAGTCATACATTAGTTTAAAAAAATTTAAATCACATAAGGCTCTATAGCATAATAATCCAAGTTAATTAGAATTTATTTTTTTGAAGATTTTTATATATTTATTTTAGAGGGAGAGTGCATGTGCATGCAAATGGGGGGAGGGGCAGAGGGAGAGAGAGAAATTCAAGCATACACCCTGCTTGTGGGGAGCCCTAGGCAGGGCTCGATATAACAACCCTGAGATCATGACCTGAGCTGAAATCAAGAGTCAGACACTTAACCAACTGAGCCATACAGGAGCCCCCCACCCCCACCCCAAGTTAGTTAAAATTTAGAAAATAGTTTCAAGCAGGTTTTGAGTTAATAGTCTAAAATGTAAAAGAATAATTTCTTGAAATATTAAGTACCTCTCCATGGCTTATTAAAAACAGCTTACGTTTATTTATCACAAGTTTAATTCTCCAGAATGTGGCCCACCAGAGTTGTACCATGGTGAACTGAAACGGTTGGGCCTTTATCCCCACATCTTGCTAAACCCCAGGAAGGGTGTGATGTTGGACAGGGTGGCTCTTAAAGCCCCCATTTCCCCATCTCCAGAGGTAAACTGATTGTTTTGGTATTTAACTCCGTATTTCCAAATAACATATGCTACCACTTGATTTTTCCATTTTAGGCATTATCTGTTGACGTCCTCTATGGGTGGTGTAAATTTAGGTTTTTCTCCCAAATACCCAAGCCCTCCCCCCATCATTCCAGTGATGCCTTAGTTTTTGGTAGATAGCGATTCTATGTTTGTATAGTTTCTCAATATTTATCATTAATTCAGTTCTAAAAAATCTGCGTGTTGTCAGCATCTTCTCTCCATAGGTTTAGAAGTGTATGTGTGTTATATATATATATATATATATTTTTTTTTTTTCTACTCAGTTTAACCATCTTTGAGAAAATTTTTCCTAGAACATTCTGATCTCCAGTTTATGGGCTGCTTGATATGGTTGCCCCTGCAACCTCTCTCTGTCTAATTATGGATCCTCTCCTATATCCCATGTAATTCTTTGCTTGTGTTAATGTTTGCATCTGAATTTTCTTTGGGGATCTTTTTTCTTTTGTTTGAGTACATGCTTTAGAATTTCTTTAATATAGGTTATCATCATTAAAGAGTTAATTGTTATGTATTAAGGTTAATGTTATCCTCATTTTGTTTGGTCACAATCTCCAGTAGCTACATGGGAAATGTTTTGAGGTGTTATGTACCTCTAAATGTTTTTAGATTACCCTAACTTAGTTTGAGTGTAGGATTCTAAGTTGGAAATGTTTTTCTTCAGAATTGTGAAGGAATCCTTAGTGTTTCATATAAAATCTGAAGCCATATTTTCAACAATTTGCATTTCACTTTTTTCTTCCCAGTGGAAGCTCCTACACCCTTTTTGTTTGAAGCTTATAGATCGTTCTCTTTGTTGTACCTAGTGTTCTGAAATGTCACAGTGATGTGAAGTGAGTTACGAGTCTATAGGCATCCACTTTGCTGTGCATTTCATGGATTATTTCTGTCTGGCAACTTGTAATCCTTAGCTCTGAGAAAGTTTCTGATACTTTTACTGTAATTTCCTTGCTTGTGTTTTTGGTTCTGAAATTGCAATTAGACATTGTATTTTTAGATTATTTCTTTTCTCCCATATTTGATCGTTTCCCAGTCTTTTTGCTTTACAGTTTCTTGAAAACTTACTTGATTTTTTAAACATTTGAAACTTTAATTTCTATTGTTATGGTTTTAATTTCCAATACTTTTTTTGATCTCTGCATTTTTTAAATGGCATCCTGATATTTTTTTCTTTATGAATTTAATTAAAGTTACATTTTGAAGTTTATTTCTCCCTGCTTACTCTCTTTTCTCCAAGTTATCCTTTCTGTTAGGATGTTTTAAAGGCTTTCATCTTAGAGGCTTTCCTCAGCTATCCTGTGATCCTTGGTTGTGTGTTCAAATTTATGTAAAGGGCATTAAGAAGCTATTTCACGCTCTGTGAATTTGGCTGAGGCTTGCTAGATATTAATGGATCTCCCTGTGGAAAGATTTAGCTGGAGCATATTTGGTGGGGGAACCCTGATATCCACTTTTTTGGTGTTATTTGGAAGCCTTTTCTCTTGGGCTAACAAGAGCCCAGTGAAAAGAATTTTCCAGTCTTTTTAC